CAGGAGAATGAGTTTCCTCGTAATCTACTCCTGGTCGTTGGGAAAAACCTTGTGCGACAAGACGAGTTTTATATCTTACAATTTCGTTGTGCTCATTTCTTTTCCCCACAAATACCCATTTACATCCAACAGGAGAAACTTCTTTCGGTTTAATAACAATATGTCCGAACACCTTTCGCTTATTAAGCGAATCTAATTCAGCTTGTATTGCGTCTCTCCATTTATTCCAATTCGGTCTCCTTTGACACTCAAAAATAGATCTGGGTTCTGGATCCTCATTTTCATCAATTTCCTTTTATACATTATAAGAGAATATATCATCAATCTCTTTGATTTCTTTTCGATTCCATAAATGTACCATTACTGATATAATTAATTGAGATCTCATGATTTCCATTATCTGGATTTATACCATCATCACAAAGTACTATATTTCTTTGATTTGGAATGCGTTCCTCCGAATTGAGCATTTCATTTTTCTTTGGCCCTTTGCTCTTTCGGGGGGTTTTATCCTTAGAACCAATAGGTCGTCCACGCTTCAGGCGTGTTTTAGAATCGTTTGTCGAATTTTCTTTCGTTTTTTCTTTCGGAATTTCAATCCAAGCAGGAACATTTGCAACATCTATATATGATCTTGTTACTCTAGTTGTATCTGCAAATGCATCAGGTAACTGATTTGCAATATTCTGCAAATGTATAATCCTTTGAACTTCTAGTTCTCGTTGTTTTGCTGGGGGATCAAAGTAGGATAATGATGGTGTACACCAATTAAGATCATTTCCATTTTCCACCATTCTATGATTTTCTCCCCCTAATTGTGGGAATTCATTTTCATTAAATTGACAATCAGCAAAATGAGCCGTAAAAACATCTCCAGTTTGTGGCTCAAGATATCGTATAATGGATGACGAATCGTACCCAATATATATTCTAAGTCTCCTTTGTGGTCCCATTTTTGCACATTGTGATGGGGAAATCGGGACATATACTGCGCATCCGAATATTCTGAGATGCGATATATTAGGTTCTTGACCAAATGCTAATTGTAATGGAGAATACTTATGATATGCACTTGGTCTGATACGAATCAGTGACGCAGCATGCAAAATAGCATGACCCCAGATAGAAATTGGTAATTTTGTTTTCATTATCAATGGTCTGTCAATAAGTTGGAGTCGTTTGATTAATGACTCTGCTAATCCATTATGTGTATGAACATGTGCTACTGGGTGTTCAACATCAATACCCATTGCTACACAGTAATCATCAAAAGCTTGTGATGTAAATTCTCCAGCATTATCAAGCCTTACTTTCTTGATCGGGTACTCTGGGAACTGTGCCCTTAGTTTAATTATTTGGGCTAAGAATCGAGCAAATACCAGATTACGCAATGATAAAAGGCATGCATGCGACCATCTGCTTGAAGCATCAATTAATACCATAAAATATCGAAATGGTTCACATGGTGGATGAATAGGTCCACAGATATCACCATGAATTCTTTCTAGAAATGATGGTAATTCATACCCGATTTTAACTTGTGATGGTCTAATTATTAATTTTCCTTTAGAACATGCATCACAAGAAAGCTCATCCGATTGAAAAATCTTCTGGTTTTTCAATGGATGACCATGAGAGTTTTCGATAATTTTTCTCATCATAATGGCACCAGGGTGACCCAATCGATCATGCCAAACTTTGAACGTATCAGTAAACTCCTAGTTTACTATGACATGTGATTCAATCACATTGATATAAATATAATATAATCCCGATGATAGAGTGGGTAATTTTTCCAACACATACTTTTTCTCGAATTGATTGAGGTGATATATAAATACTCAGTGTCATCCTCATTCATAGTTTCAATATGATATCCATTTTGTCGGATATCTTTAAAACTCAATAAATTTCTTTGGGACTTGGAAGAAAATAATGCATCTTTTACTGTAAATTTCGTTCCTCCTGGCATAATGAAATCGGCTCTTCCAGAGCCTTCGATTATTTTTGCATTTCCAGATATAGTAACATTTCCTTTGTTTCTTCTCAGATTCGAGAAATACTTTTTGTCTTTCAGTATTGTATGTGTTGTAGCACTATCTGCCAAACATATATCCCTCATCAGTCCGCAGTTTTAGCCATATACGTTTTCTAAGAACACAACAACATGACAATCATTAAAATAGATATATTAATAATGCATAATATCATTACTAACTTATGAAACAAAAATAGTGATACAAAGCACAACAACATATCATGAAATTATTTATACATGATAATGCATATGTAGATAAGATTGATTATAAGTATGCAAACATTTATATAGTTTTTTTTTATTCATAACCGGCTCCATCTTCAGGATGGGCAAAATCATCAGCGAGGTCCATATGGGCAAAGTCCTTAGCACCACTAGCATCATCATCATAATCACTCGTGACATGATTGGTCTCGATGTCTTTCCCTTTTGTTTCTTTAATTGACTTCTGATAAAGTTCCACCAGGTATTTAGCTGTGCGGCAAGTACGCGAACAATGTCCCGTCATTCCACTCTGGTAGCATGTGCTTTCTTTCACCCTCTTATTTGGATGTCCATGCGCTTCCCCTTTATTATTGTTAAAATTATAATTTTGGGATGAGTTTCCTTTACCACCTCATCTTATCCAACTTCGGCTAGCACCACGACCACGTTCTCGACCTCGGCCTCGGCCTCTACCTAGAAAATAACCACGTCCCCGGTCATTATAAGACATAGCATTCGCTCCAGGGAATGATGTTTTTTCTGTAGCATTTGTTTCAGAGAATGACTTGTTTCCTGTAGCATTCGCTTCCGGGAATGGTACAGATCCAGTCGGTGGTGATGCGTGATTTTTCATTAACAGCTCATTATTTTGTTCAGCCAATAGGAGACATGATAAAAGCTCCGAATATTTTGTATACCCTTTTTCTCGATATTGTTGTTGGAGTATAATATTCGAGGCATGCATAGTAGAGAAATTTTTCTCCAACATCTCATTTTCGGTAACTGTTTCTCCACATAATTTTAGAATCGAGGTGGTTCGATACATTGCCGAGTTATATTCACTGACATTCTTGAAATCTTGAAATCGAAGATGCATCCATTCATATTTTGCCTTGGGGAGGATCACCGTTTGTTGATGATCAAAACGGTCTTTTAATTTTAACCAAAGATCTGTAGGATCTTTGATTATCAAATATTCTTTTTTTCAAATCGTCATGAAGATGATGTCGCAACAATATCAGTGCCTTTGTCTTATTCTCGTTTGATTCACCTTTTTCTTTAATAGTGGTACCAAGACCTTTTGATTCGAGATGCAACTCATCATCCAACTGCCATGATAAATAATTGTTTCCCGATATGTCGAGGACCTCGAACTCGATATTTGTCATTCTTGCCATAATGACTAAACAAAAAAATAATCCATACATTAGCTTTATTCATTATCATGGATAAGACAACATAGCAAAATATATGATTACATATAAATTTCTATAATTAGTAACACGTAAACAATAGGTAAGACCGTAACGCAAATTGAAAACAGAAATGGATCGGGATTTTTGTTGAAGAAAATACTAAACGTTGCTGTTAAAATTGCTAGAACAAAGAGAATTTTAATAAAATTCATCTTGAGAGATTTTTTTTTTCCCGTGGGAGAGGAAAGAGAATGAGATGATTTGGTGTGATTTGTTTGAGTGAATGGATGAGTGTATTTATAGGGTAAAATTTACTATTCTTAGCCGTTGGGGAGGAGCCAAAATTTGATTTTTTTTTAAATCTTTTTTAATTGTAGCCGTTGGAGAATTTTTTTTCTTCTTCAAATTTTATAAATGATTTTATCAATTTATATCATAAAATAATTTATCAAAACGAATTGTTAGACTATTTTGTAAAATTAATTAATATGAAAGAATTTATGAAACTTTATTTGTAAATTTTAGATGAAGTTCAAATTTTTTTCGTATAAATGACCATCAATAAATTTATATTATATATGATAATATTTTGCATGATGAATATTTATTAATTTATATAGATTAGATAATATAATTGTTTATATGTGGCGGTATTATCGTTTGCAGAAGTAAAATAATTCAGGCGGCATTGTCATCCATAAAGAATAAACACAATAGTCTATTAATAAGTAAAGCGGCATAGCCGTCCAATATTAATAATTAAGGCGGCATAGTCGTCCAATAACAAATAAATAATTAAGGTGACAAAGCCGTCCAAATTAATAATTAAGACGGCACGGCTGTCCAATAACGAATAAATATTTAAGGCGGCATAACCGTCCAGATTAACAATTAAGACGGGATAGCCATCCATGAATAATAATCAAGGCGGCATTACCGTCCATAAATTAATTATAAAAAATATCGGTATTCATATATAGCTTGGGGTTAATTCCATTCAAGTATCAATGAATACACGTATATATCATGAGAACGAAAATATTAGTATTAAAGATAAGTTATCTTACCTTTAGTTGTGGAAGAGCGCTCGTGCTGATAACGTGTTATGAAATCGGTGAAATATAAACGACCCGACTATTAGATCGTTAACTATAATCAAAACGGTATTTTAGGAGAATGGAGAAGAATGTATTTCTTATTACTCTCTTTCTTGAAAGTGTACAAATGGAGGAACTCAAATGACCTATTTATAGAAATCCCGAAGTTACTGTTCACGTATACGATCGATGTGAACAGTACCGTATATATAAACAGTAAGTTGGTATGAACAGTAACGGTGGATTTCACCATAAATATATTTTATTTATAACAATCACCTCTATTTTTATTTTAATAATTTGGTTTGATGTGTTAAATTAAAAAAAAAAAAGAGGAAAAAATATTTCAGATTGTTTTATTATTATTTTTATTTTTTATTTCGGCCCCTTTTTTTATTAAAAGTCAAAGCCAATCTGCAAATGTCAAGAGAATATATAAATTCTTTCAGAAAATTTAAAATAAAAAAAAAAGGAAGGCAAAAACAAAAGAACTCGTGATAGCGAACAGGTAGATCGCGACAATCTGTCTCTCTTTCTCTCTAATCAAATCCCAACATCTCTAACCGATCCGTCTTATCAGCGGATAAGAACCCTTTTCTCTTTTCGTTTTCGATATCTGTTGTTTGTTCGTGTTGATGATCCTCAATCTCTTTCATTGATTTTGTTTTTTTTAAGATCTGCAAATATTTCATGAAATTCTTTGCCTCATTGTTCAGAATCAAATGATGGCCTATTTCACACCAAGCCTGTGAAAAGAATCCGGCAGATTCATCTATTCCTCAAGGTATTCCTGCAATCTCAAATCTTTACCTCTTTTTCTTATCTTTACTAATTTTTAGGGTTTAACCCATTTCGAGTTTCCTCATGATCTTTGTACTGGATTGAGGAAATGTCGATTCAAAATTCGTAATTTCCTTTTTCCCGCTATGCCCATTTCGTTTCTCGTGAGACTTGTTGTCCAGATCGATGATTATACATGAAATGTGTAAATTTCCAATGTGTGCGATACTTGAAAATGTATGCATTTCTTCGAGTTATTCGTGAAGTATTTATGTTGGATATTGGGGGGGGGGGAATTTTCGTCTCAGATGCATATAACTGTTGTATAATGATTGAAACGTATGTTTGGTTCTTCTCGAATGCAGATTAATGTTGTCTGCATTTGTCAATGCGTGTTTGATATCCGAATCTTCAATCACTGGCGTTGTAATCGACAAGAAGCAAGAGCATAAGCTTGAGTGCCATATAATCATCATCAGTACTGATTTGATGACTGATTCGATAGCCGGTTCTTTCGGGTGAAGAAAGTAACATGTAAAGTGAGATATGGTATCTACAAGATTGAGGAAAATAGTTTCGCCTTGTTGGCCTTTTGCCAATGGAGAGAGTTCTAATGATGGCGGTGATGGTAATGGCCGAGTGGACGGGCTCTTGTGGTACAAAGATATGGGCCATCACACTAGCGGAGAATTCTCGATGGCTGTGATCCAAGCCAATGCTATTCTTGAGGATCATAGCCAACTTGAATCGGGTCCAATTAGTTTCCTTGATTCGGGACCTCAAGCTACGTTTGTCGGAATATACGACGGTCATGGAGGTTCAGAAGCTGCTCGGTTTGTCAATGATCGACTCTTTTATCACATAAGGAGTAAGTTCCCTTTGCCCTCCTGCTTGGTATATGCATTGTAGCAACCATTGAAACTTTGTGAATTTCACCGACATTTTACATTGGTTTGGCCGTTTGGCTATCATATTCATGAATTTGCTATGAAGCTCTTCGTTGGAAGCTACGGAAATTTAGCTGGTCGAACACCTACAGGCTGGTGACAGATTTCTGTAAACTTAAACCGAAAAATGTTCATGCTGCTGCAGGGTTTACATCCGAACTTCGAGGGTTGTCTGCTAATGTAATCACCGAAGCATTTTTAGCGACAGAGGGGGAATTTCTCGGTCTAGTACAAGAGCAGTGGAAGAACAAGCCAAAAATAGCCTCTGTCGGGGCGTGTTGCTTGGTGGGTATTGTATGTAATGGTGTACTATATATCGCAAATGCTGGAGATTCTCGGGTTGTGTTGGGAAGACTCGAGAGGGCATTTAAAGAGGTGAAAACTGTTAAAGAGGTGAAGGCTGTTCAGCTATCGACAGAGCACAATGCAAGCTTTGAATCTGTGAGAGAGGAGTTACGTCTGTTGCATCCCGATGATCCTCATATCGTGGTCTTGAAACACAAAGTTTGGCGCGTGAAAGGCATTATACAGGTATATATATACACACGCATTTGTGTCTGAGAGAGAGTATGCATTAGTGGCAGTAGGCTGTTTCCTTTATTAACAACTATGGTAACAGGCTTGAGAATTGATTGAGAAAAAGCTTCCAATATGGTGCAATTCATGAAAAATGAGTCTTGTTTTTTATTTTGTTTGACAGGTTTCAAGATCCATTGGTGATGCGTATTTGAAGAGATTCGAGTTCAATGGAGAGCCGTTGTTGCCCAAATTTAGGGTTCCTGAACCTTTCGAGAAGCCGATCCTCAGAGCTGAACCAGCAGTAACTACATGTAAGCTTCACCCGGAAGATAAATTTCTCATATTTGCGTCGGATGGTCTATGGGAGCATCTGAGCAACCAAGAGGCAGTGGACATTGTCAACACTTGCCCACGTAACGTAAGATCACTTACCCCTCTCTCAAAACCCGTTCGTCTACTATGATATCTTCCTGGCTATCTGGTTCATCATCGCTGACCCATCATATGTAACTGCGAGATATTTTGTATTATGCATCCACACGAATGTCAGCCTGTTTAGGGAAACTTTCGAATGTTAGCCAACAAACCATGTCTACCATGTGAACCATGTGATTGAAACCGTGATCAGGCTTGGTTAAGGCATAGTTTCCAATAACCGGGATGGAAAATTTTACTCGACCATCCAGCATCAGGGCACAGCTTCTGTTTTAAGTTCAGTCTCTTGCCACCTCCTGGATATTTGCAGGTCAGAGAAAATGAGCTAGGGCTTGCTAACCAACTCGCGACTGGCTCGTTTTTAGGCGGGGCGAGTCAATGTTTTTGTAGCTCATTTAAAAAAACGGATTCACGAGCCACAGTCTCGACTGAGCCAGTTCAATCAACCACAAGCTGGCTGGCGAGTTGAAAACATGAAATTAAAAAGATTTTATAAGTATTTTATTATGTTTTAACATTTTTATTTTTTTTAATATTTTAATTATATTTTAATTGGTTCACGAGTTGACTAGTTTGACTCGTGAACCGAGCAGGGCCAAGCATTTTTTGGCTTGTCTTAAAACAAGTTGGGGTCGAGCACGAAAATTTTGAGACCATGACAATCAAGGCCGGGGCCGAGCCGCCTCGTTTTACACCTCTGAATTCCCTCGACATTGAGGGGGGGGGGGGCACATGTGTTTGTACTGCTCTGGTTTGCATTGTCATGCTGAGTATGATTATTGAACTGGTTATTGTGTTCAGGGTATTGCTCGGAGACTGGTGAAAGCGGCATTGAAGGAAGCGGTGAAGAAGAGAGAGATGAGATATGCGGATTTGGAGAAGATCGAACGAGGGGTCAGGAGGCATTTTCACGACGATATTACCGTTATCGTTTTATTCCTCGATGCCCTTTTCGGGAATCAGCCGCCGTCCTGTGACAGATCTCCTATCCTCTCTTCCATCAAAGGTGGCGGCGAACTCTCCGGCAATGGCTTCTGTTCTTCTTCTTGCTGATCATTAAGAACTTTCACTTTCTCACTTGCGTTGGTGTCTTTAGTTCTTTTTTCCCTTTGGTCGGATCCGAGTTTCCTTGGTATGTCTGTTTGTTTCGTTGCTTTGGATTCTTCTTCTGTATACACTTTCTTCAGGTTCGTTTTATTCTAAGATTTGCCTGACTTTTCTTTTTCTTTTTATTTTTCTGTTAACAATAAACATATTTTTTGTAAAAAAAAAAGTTCAATACTTTTTTTTTCCCTCCAGCTTTGCAACTATAAACAGTTACGTTAAAGAAGCCTTCTTTGGGTTTTTTTTTCTTGAAATTTTGTTGGCACCAGATATTATAAAATTGTCAAAGAAATTTTAAATTGTTCAATTTATATGAAACATTTTAGATTTAAATACATCATGAAAAATTTTAGATAATTATTGTTTTATTCAAGTATTTAATTGTGTTAACTATTGGTAGTTTATCCTTTGATATTTTTAGTTTTTGGGTTTTATTTACTTAAAAAATATAGTTATAGCTTTATGATGATTTAAAATTATAAATTTTTTTTGTCTAGTCATAATAATTTTCTTAATAGTTTGAGATTTTAAATTAATAGGTGTCAATTTTTAGTCACAAATGATGAAAAAAAATAATTTAAATGAAAAAAAAAATCAGGATATCAAATATGCCGGCCTGATCAGATCCGATCCAATCCAAACCCGAACTCAAGTTCAATAAGACCAATCTTCGAACTTTAGTTTAAGAAAACTCCAAATCCGACACCCTTGAACCGATTGCGGGCTGACGCCGGATCGGCCAGGCCCATTTGACAAAAGTAACGAGATTAATTTATAAAGCCTTAATTTCTGATGCTGTGGACATAGATTTCCGGGAAAATTCTGACGCAAACAGAGAGAAAACGGCGACTATGAGTGTCGGAATCAGTTTGAGCTCTTCGCTGTCTCTGTGGGATTCCTCATTCCCTCCCTCGTTTTCCGTCTCCTTCAAGAAAATCGGAGCTTTTGGTCAAGGAATACTCCAAACAGGATCCGATGTTAATCGGAAGGATTTGTGCGGATCTTTCCGAAGACGCAGAACCACTCGAACCTCAGCGATTATGGCGACTGGGTAATCAACGATTCGTCATTGGTCTTCTTTGTTTCTGTGGAACAAGAGGTTTTAGGTTTCCGGGTTTCTTCAGTATCGCAATGAATTGGGAGATTCTCTTGTTTGGTTAGTCGGGGAAAAAGCGAGAAAATGGCTTGCCCTTCTGGTCTTTACATCTTGTTTGGCTTCCGAGAAAATGAAGGATGAAAACAATGCAGGAGTTTGCTCCTGGTCCTTTTGTATCGAAATGTAAAAGATGCATTCGTGAGCGTGAACAGATACAATACCACCTTTCCTGATACATTTTGCAGCAAAATCGAAGAAGCATTACCATTGGAGCTGGATTTCACTTCTGAACCACTTCAAGTGTTCGATGGAACGACAAGGTTTGAGTTAGAATGCTTCTCTGCATTTTTCCTGTCCGGAGGAGCGGAGGCAAGATTCATGAAATGTTTGGTGTCTGTGATTTGAAGGTTGTACATATCCTACACATGCCCATATGCTCAGCGCGTATGGATTGCCCGAAATTACAAGGCAAGATTGCGTCTTTCCCGCTAAATTTTGCATAGAACGAAAAGTCGGTTAACCAAGTCTGACCCGATTCAATCTCTTTTCTTGATCAGGGTTTGCAGGAGAAGATAAAACTGGTTCCCATTGATCTGAAAAACAGGCCACCTTGGTACAAGGAAAAGGTCTATGCAGCTAACAAGGTGAGCGAGAAAAACCCGGATTCCATGGAGAATTTATCGGTTCTGATACTTAGTTTTGGGTTTAACATAAGCTATATTGAAGCAGGTTCCAGCGCTAGAGCACGATAACAGAGTGATAGGAGAGAGTCTTGATCTGATCAAGTACATTGATACCCATTTCGAAGGCCCTTCACTTGCTCCCGACGTGAGAATTTTGTCGAACCCTTTTGTTTTTCTTGTATGGTTTAGTTTTGGACAGGAGACTTAGACATGGGGCGGCATACCACTGCAGGGTCCCGAGAAGGAAGAATTGGCCGACGAGTTGCTCTCATACACTGGCTCCTTTTACAAGGCCGTGACTTCTACGTTCAAAGGGGAAGGCAGTGATGATGCTGGTAAGTATAATATATTTCTCCATCCTTGTTTTGTCCTTTCGACCCGAATTTCGGACACCCGCAGGTATCCATTTTGCGGACACCCAGAAATTTGGATACTCTGATTGAGGTGAGGTCGAGTAGGGGGTTTTAGGGACAGGGAATCCGAACCATGATGTCGAGTTCGGATTTTGTAAGCCGATTTCCCTTACCCGCCTGCATACGGGTAGTCTGAGAGGGTGAGAGGACGATTCCGAGCATTAAGGTTTCACCATGGTCAGTGGACTCAAAACTCGGGTATCCGACTCGCACAAAGTTGAAACAGCATATTTTGACCGAGGATGAAACCAAAATCGGATACACCCGATCGAGCTATGCCCACAGCTACTAGTATATGTATATATATCTAAACTCAACGTTTTGAATGAACGTAATGATTCAGATGCCGCATTCGATTACGTCGAAAAGGCTCTTTCCGGATTCGAGGAAGGACCGTTCTTCCTTGGGCAATTCAGTCTGGTAAACTGACAATATGTTCATCTCCTCGGTTGTTGAGATGCTGACCAAAGCAAAATAAAAATGATAAAATGCTGTCGTTGTCGTTACAGGTTGATGTTGCATATGTTCCTTTCATAGAGAGATTCCACCTTTTCTCAAAGGATGTGATGAACGTTGACATCACCTCTCAGCGACCTAATCTCGCCCTTTGGATTCAGGTTTCATCTTCTTCGCCACCTAGATTTTGTTGCACCAACCCTGAAACTGTTTTCTTCAGACAAAATCTACAACACGATAATAGTAAATGAATAATCTCCTGGTTCACTGCCGTGTTTTGTCCAGGAGATGAACAAGATCGAAGCTTATGCTCAAACCCGACAAGATCCACGTGAACTTGTCGAAAGATACAAGAATCGGTTCCTGGTACAAACACATTTGAGTTGTTCTTGACTTCTTACGTCCACAAAAGCAGGACATGTTTTACTAAATCTACACCGGTACTTGTCTGTTGTTGCAGGCTACCTAAATGTATCATCAGAGACACATATAGAGAACAAGAAACAACAAAACTCTCTTCTGTAATAGAAAACATGCTTGCCATTGTACTGTAATGGAATGAGCTCAACATATTTGTATTACATGAATAATGTGTTTGTTTCCTCAAGAGTTTGACGGATAGACAACAAATGAAAATCAAAGCTCCATCAATTTATTTTAAAAAAAATTCACCTACTGCTGCGATTCCTTTTATGGTTCTGTCCAGAAAACAGGCCATTAAGATCATATCATATGCTGCTGCTTCACTGGAATTTAAAGCTTGTCCCAAGTCACATCGGGTTTTCAGATGGAGCAAGGTCATTCAGATTCTATACAAACACCATCCCAGTGAAGAACCCCGAGAGTTTGAAATTTAAAGCAGACTTATATTAGAGAATCATAATATCATGATCATCATCCTACCTATTTCACATACATCAAAAGAAGAATTTGCGGTCAGCTCCGTTGGAAAGTGTACCAACCTGTATGGAAGGAGAAACTCTATCTCTGTGTGTGTGTACAGAGAACCGGCAGCCAAAGTAAAGGGGTCACTACTTCAGCAGTACTTTCCATATCTTACTCATATAAACGACCAATGACCACACGGAGAGTCCAGCTGATACGTAAAGTAGGGCAACACCCGAAGCTACAAGCCCTCCGAAACTGCTGTCCCGGGTCGCAAGGAGTATGGTTAGTGCTGTCATCTGGGTGGCAGTTTTCCATTTTCCCAGGTTATTCACCGCAACAGCCTGTAGATATCGACATCAAAATGTGATTAACTAGGAACATTGTAATGTTCTTAGCCACTTGGCTGCAGTTTTTATACCAAAATCAACCAAAACTACAGTTTTAAGTTCTTTTGTTGCGAAATTCCAACCCAGTCTGCAAAGAGATTAAAGGGATAGAAGTCTGAGAGTTGCTTACCTCTGAAACCTTGCCATTTTGGGACGCAGCCCATTCTCTCACAGCAGACATTGTTATCTACATGTAAATTATATCATATGGTTTTGAATTCAGTGTCGGTACTAACACATTCACCTCATCTTATCGCATTCTGTTCTGTGATATTTGAGAATCACCGCCAATAAGGATGTTCAAAAGTAGAGAGTCAATTGTAATATCTTACCTCCCGACCAATGATGGCAATGGAAGGAACCGTCATTAACCATGGAACTGGCCCAGATGCTGCAATATCCATGGGCTTCGTACAGAGCAAGATCAACGTAGCTGCTACCATAAGCTGCACGCCCAATTGGATACAAATTACAAAGACAAGTTTTTTTTTCTCTCTTTTCCAACTCAACTCGAACAAATAATATCCATAAGACACTGTGGATGAAACACAAAATCACCGTAAGGATCACAAAGGAATATGGTCTGCACCTTATCTGCCACTGGATCCAAAAAAGCACCAAAAGCAGACCCCAGCCTCATCTGAAAGAACAATCTCACCATTAATCATTGCAGTACGAAATGCAAAAGAATGGAAAACATAAACCTATGCAGAAGAACACGATATGTTAAAAGGAAGTACCTTCCGGGCAATGTAGCCGTCAAGCCAGTCTGTAATGGCTGCTGCAATGAAAATACTCGTTGTGGCAGTTCTTCCCAAGCAACTATCAACATAAAAGGCTACACCCAAAAGCAAAAGGATGATTATACTACAACACAGATGACAAAACTGAAATTCCCCAAACATATGTGTTTATATTACATCTGCAATTAACCCAAACGATCAAATGGAGAAAGCCAGCTTGTTTTGACATAGAAGCAGAAAGAACTTGTAGCATCATAGAACATGTAATAAAAGCGTTGTTTTCTCCATGTATTGAACAGAGATCAATCAGCAATCAGTGTCGAAGGTACAGAAATCTTCAATTCCCAAAACAATTTTAAGATCGCAATTCCACCTTCACTGGATCTGATGATCAAACCCTATCACTCATTGAACTGGATATGTACGGAACACGATTATCTAAACTCCTACATCGTCAGAAATTAAAACTCGAAAACAATAATCAGCGACAAGATCAAACATACTCGCGACGAGAAGCGGAACAGCAGCTACACGGCCAAGAGTTAACACGGTGGGCAATGTGAGCAATTTCGAAGACGACGGCGTCGGCGGCTGATGCGATGGCGAGTGACTCTGCCGGAGCAAAGAATCGTCACCACCATTACCACAACCACGAAGATGACCGTGACGGAAACCGTTCTGATCCGCCGTCACGGCATCGTCCTGACCCATATCCGCCACAAGACCCGACCCGGAAGACGACGACGGTCCACTTCTCTCCGATGAAGAAGAGGAAGAGGAAGAGGAAGGGGAGCACAAAGGACGATGACGAGAACCCCGAATCGGGAACCCTAGGCCTTTATGAGAGGAGGCGTAAAGGAGGTCTGTAATAATCCAGGAAGGAGAGCCGCTAACGTGCGCGGAGAAAGCGAAGGGTGCGCAGGGGAGTAACGTGCGCCGCGGGTTGGCGTCGTTGGATAGAGAAGAAGAAGAGAAAGGGGATCGCTGTCTTCGTCTTCCTCTAGGGTTTGAGGAGGCAACGGCGGAGGCGGAGACCGTACGGACCCATTTGTACGGATTCGTGCAGATTGATGCCGCAGCGACGGAGAGTTTCAGACCGGACATTGGCAATGGCATCCTATTTTTTTCTTCTTTTTTTTTGGCAAGAGCGGAGTCCAGAAGGTTGTCCAAAAAAGCGAATGAAGTTAGGGAATCAGAATCACATATGTTAATTTAAAGAAAATAATTAGCTAATTCAAAGTTAATTTTTTTCAATTTCAATTCTTTGGACAATTGCTTTTTTTTTTTTAATGAAAAAAATCATCTAAATAATTGGAGTTACATAGTCGGTTCAATCAATTTTCCAAATCATTTTCACTGAATGAAAGTAAATCCATCCATGTACGTCTAGGATGAGCATTTAGATTTGGGAATTTGATTTTGAATATCGAAATATAATTGAACCAAATAGAATGTTTTCGTTTCGAATTGAAACCTAATAAATATTGAATCGAATTCGACAAGTATTGAATTATCTATCTTTATGTATGACTATACTTTATATGTTCATATCAAGTTTCACTTTTTATTTGTTATTCAATGTAGCAAAATCGTTTGCAAGCTAACCGTCACTAAAATCGGTTCGATTAATAATTGATAGTAATTTGTTATAAATTTTATAGAATTAAAATAAATCTTCTCGAGTCTGATATTAATCGAAATTCGAAATGTCAACCAGTGGTCATATGATCAGATCCGAGGGGTAGAAATTCGAGAGACGTGCGCTGAGTACGCGGGTGAGGTAAGGTGGTGAAATCGCCTTACTCGACCAATAACTCGATTGATGGAACCCTAATATTTCAAACATCGAAAACACATTCACCGCCAAAAACCCTAATCTCATCCTTAGTAACGAGTCTTTGCTCTCGTCGTCTATCTCGACCACCTTCTTTCTCGATCTTATTCTCGCCCTTCGAGGGCTCAGTCTCTCCCCATTTCATCTTTTTTCTCCATCCTCGTGTGACTCGTGAATTCGAGTTTCATGAGACAAAACCCGACCTCGAACCCGAATTTTTAGGGTTTTGGAGGTGAACTTGGGGATAGGTGCCCACCCGTGGGACTAGACCCATAAAAAGAGTATCTGCGCGTCGAGAAGTTTCAGATAACATTGCCAAGTTTTAATGGATTAAATTTTAATTAATTATTTAGACAAACAATGCTAATATTTTATCATAAATCTTTTGAAAAAGACCTTTGAAAATTACCAAATTTGTAATTCGGTGGAAAACTAATTCTTGAATTTGCAGGTGTTTCTATTTGAAAAATTGGACACGATAATTTCTAAACTTGCTTAAAAGTGTCATAATTATCGTAACAATAATTTTGACCAAAATAATGTGTTGAACAATTCTACGTGATGCGTAAATTGTCAAGACACGCTAGACTTTTAGACCATGTATGCAGAATTAGGTTTAATGAAAACGGTTTAACAAAATCAGTTCATAATAGTGAAAATTCTGATTCATCGGAAGATTTGGGTTAACGACATATAGCGAAATAAATACCATCACTGTCTTTTCTCGAACTTCAGATCCAGATCGACAGCGTCTCTACCGAAACAAAAGCACTTGGCATCGAAATAACCGTAATCGGAGCTACACCTCTTTCATCCTAATATTTTTGATGAAAACAACGATATTTAAGGAAGAATGCGACGATTGGAAAAGCCATCGATGAATCCGGAAGTATCTCCAAGTTGTTACTTTTACTGAATCGGAATTTTTACTATTATAAACCGTTTTTGTTAAATCTTGTCTATTAAACCCGATTTTGTATATATGGTATTAAAATCTGACGTATCTTGACAATTCATATACCATATAGGATTTTTTAACACATTATTTTGGTCAAATTTATGGTAAAGACAATTATGATACTCTTAAATAAATTTAGGAATTTTCATGTCTAATTTTTTAAGTTCGAAAATAAATAAAAACACGTGTAAGCTTGAGAATTTTTAGTGATTTTCTTCAAATCTTTTATACGTTTTTCTCTTTTTATATATAAAGTCCGACTAGTTGTGAGTGTCACACAATAGTTAGTAAACACAACAAAATATAAAAAATCTAGTTGTAAGTTTTGATAGCGATTTATAATGTTTTGTTTAAAAAAAACATAATTGCTTTTTAAAATTTTATTATAACATCATAATTTTTGATAATTTATATCGAATCTAATCATAACAATTATCAACTAGTAATTTGCATAACAAAACAAATAATCGAACTTTAATATTTTACTTCGCTGTCCCTATTTTCCTTCACTTTCCTTGTCCGTTTGTATTTCTAATTCTATTTGTTTATTCCATAATTCTAGGAGTTTAGTAGTTTACTATTCATGTTATTTCATTCAGCAAAACAAAAGTTAAAACGGAATAGATAAAAAATAAACAATTGAATATTACTTTAAAACTAAATAATTTAAACTTAAATCAAATATAAAACAATCTATAAATAAAATCTATTTATAAAAATTCTATATTAAAAAAACGCAATAAATGTTAGGGAAAATAACATTTTCCTATACGAATTTATCAAAATGTGACATTTTTCTACACGAATTTTTAATTTGACAAATGTCTACACCCAATTAACAAATTTCTCAAATACCTACACGAATTATCCAATTTTAGTGCAATTAACTACACAATCCGAAAATATCAATTAATTGATAATGTGGCATGCCACGTGGCGGTTCACGTGGCATGACACCTAGGATTTTTTTGCCATGTCAGCGCGAATTAAAAAAAAATAAAAAATAAAAAATATAAATATATTTGTATGTATACATATATATATTTTTAAATTTTATAAAAAAAATTAAATTTATATACATACAAATATATAAATATATATGTGTATATTCATATATATATA